ATTCAACAATTAATCCCCTTCATTTTCCGAATTTCTGCAAAAGTACAAAAAATGAACAGGCTTCTGTCAAATGTAATGGTAATCTCCTAAGGCAACTCATGTGCAACTAAAAAGCAAACCATTAAGACCATTTTGCCCTTATTGGGTACAAAATGACTTGATTCTTAACCGTTGGAAGTGTGCTTATTTAATTTAACTGCATTTCTTCAACAGCTCAGTCACACAATTCTCTTCCTTGTAACCCAAAAACATGCAGAACAACTCATTGTTGCTTCTTCTTCTTTCTCTCTCTATCCCCCCCCCCCCAAAAAAAAAAAAAAACTCTCATTCCTTTCTCTCTTCCCCCCTTCCAACGATGCTTCTTAATTATTTGTTCATGTAAGTATGGGAGTTCTTTCTTCACCAACATAAGGAAAATATATTGATTCCACATACATAAATAAGGTTTGATTCGTCTATCCAAATTGCTTACGGCGAAAACTAAGAAAAAGGAGAAATTAATAAATAAATAAATAAAGGGCATCATGTGAGCCCCATTCAGGCACTTCCTCCTCTTTTCTGGCAAGCTATCCGCAAGAACCAAGCAAAGAACTTCGAATTATCAACTTGAACAAATACATTCAAAAAAGATTAAAATAATTTCCCCAGATCATCCGTGAACATAACAAAATTAACAAAAATAATGACAAGATTTTAAAAAGCCCTATGCCAAACAAATTTAACAAAACCTATAATCATATCCACACGCACAAACACATATATACACATAATTACATACACAACTTCAAATCCAGATGCTGCTTGACTAAGAAAGAAGATGATAAATTATCCATACCCCCAGATTCGACGTCTCTTCCTGTTCATCAAAACGGCTTGAATCACCATCGCTGGTCAGCGTCAGCGTCAGCTCCGACGCCATCAAGCCCGTTCGATCCAAAATCCTATGTGGTGGATCAGCACCTTCCATATCTAATGGTGAAATAGTTCCTAAATTTACACAAACTCTCTTCGTTTTCGCTGGATTTAGCGGAGAAAACCCTCACAGATTTGATTTGGCGGCCAAGTTAGAAGGAAGAGAGAGAGAGAGAGAGAGGTGGGGACAAAAGAGAAAGTGCCAGTTTTCAGAGCTTTTACACGTGGCATAGCACTTGATGAACCACGTCAGCGATAAGTTCGTGAGGAGTGACATGACAAGGACGGGCGAGGTCAGATATTTTTTGGGTGTTGTCCTAAAATATCAACGCTTTTTTATGGTGTAATAATGAAAAAATAAAATATCTTTTTCGTCCTTGCGTCTGCGTGTCGATGCACTTTTAACCGTACAAATAAAAAAATTAATTATACTAGAAATCCCTAAAGTATAAAATTTATCTTATTTTGGCTTTTAATATTTCAATTCTATCATTTTAGTCTTGAAATATTGAATATATTTTTATGTGATCCCTCAACCAGACAGAATCTAGATTACTAATGATTTTTTATTATAAACTTATCATTTAATATCTAAATATTGATAAAAAAATAATAATTTGGATAACTTTTTTAATCAAGAGTTATCTAAATTATTTTTTGTCCATATTTAAGTATCACATGACAAGTTTATAATAAAAAATCGTTGATAATTTTGATGTTGTCTGCTTAAGGGACCACATAAAAATATATTTAATATTTTTTAGGGATTAAAATGATACAATTCAAATATTATGGATTAAAAATAAGATAAATTTTATATTTTAAAGACCTCCATTACAATTAATCCTAAAAAAAATATAAAAAATTGACTGTGTATGCGTTCTATTGTCTTTTTCTATGCGTGAAGTGACAAAAACTATGTGCTGCCAGCGCCGGCCCTAACAGTATGGAAAATAGAAGCAAGAATTTTTGGTCTCAAATTTTTTGAAAGCTCTAGAATTTTAGGTACATCACAAACTCATAAAAAAAAATTAAATATATTAAATTTTAAATCCTACAAAAAAATTAAATTTAATTAAAATTTTTATTATAATAANAGAATTTTTGGTCTCAAATTTTTTGAAAGCTCTAGAATTTTAGGTACATCACAAACTCATAAAAAAAAAATTAAATATTTTAAATTTTAAATCCTACAAAAAAATTAAATTTAATTAAAATTTTTATTATAATAATTTGGACATAATCCAATCCATAACATTAAAAATTTAGAAATTAAAAAAATACTCAAAAGTCAACTCGTATTTACTTTCACCCACTCTCTCTCCCCCCGTAAACAAAAATAAATAAAAATAAAAGTTGAAATTAAACACTCTCTCCCTTTCTGTGGTAAAAAAATAAAAATAAAAGCTGAAATCTCTTTTTTAACAATATTAATACATTCTTCTTTTTCTTTTGTCTAACTCTCACATAAAAAATTAAAAATAAATTAATTTTTTTTAAAAAAATAATGCTAAAAATAAAAAAAAGTCTCTATTTAATGTTTTCACTTAGCTTGAGTCTCCTCTGAGTGCTGCTTTATCGTTTTCGGATTTTAGTTGAAACCATGAATGGAGGTTTGTGGTTTGCTTAATTAATTAATTTATTTTTAATAGTTGGGGGGGGAGGGTTGTGTTAATTTATGTATAATTTGATTAATCGTTTTTTCAGTTTGATCAAAAGTAGATCATTCGTGTCAAAATTAGAATGGTCAAAAAGAATAAATCTTTCATGACCTGATCCAAAAGAATTATCAAAATTTAGATTTAAGACGATTAAATTTGTAATTTGTCTTTGTCACCACTTGAACTACCTTTTAGAATTAATTATCACTCTTCCACCATTGAACTTAAAGTCGTAAATTCAAATATCGTCATCCCTCTTTTTAACAGTGGTATTTGACTAAAAAAATAAAATTAAGTATGAATGAATCTAATTTGTTAGTTTAATTTTTTATTGGTTTTCAAAAGAAAAGAAAAGAAACAAGCATGAGAATGTCATCAAAACAGCTCTCTTTATATGTAATTATGAGGTGAAGCCTTGCGAAAGAAAAGCATAAGCTTCAAAGTTTATATTATATTGAAAGAATGAATAGAAAATATGAAAATGTTTGGAAAAGAGCTCAAAAAATTTAATAATTCAATAGTATACACAAAATGTATGAACTTCGCCCAAAAACCCAACTTCTTTCAAACAATGGCATTTTGTCTAATGACCACTGTGACCTTAAAGTCCCTAATAGCCACTGCTCCCATCATTGGATTTTAAAGTCATGAGTTCAAACTTTGTCGCCCCTCCTTATAAAAATGTCTGACCAAAAAAAGCCTACGATGGACAGAAAAGAAAAGTAAGAGGAAATGTTCTAACAGTTTCAATAACAAATTTTCAGAAGATCACAATCAAAGAAATATAAGTACAAGAGATTTGCAAGAAGAAGATTGTAGCCAAAGCAAACAAAATTCCATGTACATCAAAGATGTTACTGACAGAATTAGTACTTCTACTAATATTGGATATTTGGGAGAAAAAAAATTTGGTGTTTTTTGTTGTCGAACTGTTTATTGCTAGAAAACATGTTTTCGTAACATCATACTATGAATCGAAAACACTTCTGTCTGTACATTACCATTTATACATCGCAAAATTGGAATGGGGAAAAAGTAGTGCTCAAAATTTGTATAAACTCTGTAACTGACCATTCTTCTCCGTTTTTATACCGCAATTTCAACCAGGTGTAGACTGTAGACTCATTGCATTTGCAGATAACACATGTAGAAAGACAGTGAGATAGTGGCTCTGGTAGAAAGGCCAAAGAAAGCGGTTGAAAACTCAAGTTTTCTGCTTCTGGCCATCCTCTGTGTCTTGGAGGTCTATATTGCCTGCAATAGGAGGAAAACGAGTAGAATATTAAGTATCTGGCAGTACACCCCCCCTCCCCCCCCCCCCCCCCCCC